AACAATGCGGGTCCGTTCTGGTCTGATCATGCAGGGCCTTGCCCTTACGTTTGGCCAACTTCAGTTCGACTTTCAGAAAGGGAATAGCCAAAATGTTTCCTAAGTATGAAACCAGCTGTACAAGTCAAGATGTAAGACCGGCCTCCGGGTCGAAGGTATGCGAGAGATCAGGCCCCGAGCCCCTCTCGTACATCCGTTGTCTAACCGATGGCCGAACAGCTTGCACACTCATCAATCATAGATCAATAGTGTGCAGGTCAGCCCGCCTTACCAAGCAGGGTGCGGTCAAGGTCGGTCCTACCAACCTTCCACCCCTGACGGCCTAGGTGGGAAGCCAGATCCCCGATTAGTTCTCCAAGTATTCTTGAATGAAAAACGACTAAGAAAATTGAAAGAACGAATGATGCATACAAGCTCAGGCGATAAATCAATCGCGGAGAACAACTCCAAGATCATCATTGCCCATCTTCTCCGCCTCATCATGGGTATCATGCATGCCACATCCAATATCATGCATGCCACATCTAAAAGAGAACAAGGCCTCCTTTCGCGCCAATTGCAACCCTCCTTGGTCCGCGACTGAGCTTGGACATACTCCGGACGCCGATCCTCGATCCAAGAATTGACAAGGTTCGGAAACTTTAGGAAGACCTTGAACATGGAAACTGCCTCATCTACTATGTCCTCAACGCTCGGACAACATACTCCGGATGCCGATCCTCGATCCAAGAATTGACAAGGTTCGGAAACTTTAGGAAGACCTTGAACATGGAAACTGCCTCATCTACTATGTCCTCAACGCTCGGACATGCTTTGGTGGCCGGGCCTCGAGCCTAGATCTTGCGAACTCTGAAATCACTGGGAATGCTTTAACGCTGCAACTACCTTATGCCTTGCATCTCAGGACAACGACTCCAGCTGGTCTTACTTTGATACAGGCTCGGATGAAACTTTCATATCTTTGGTCACAACCACGCTTGGGTATGCTCCGATCATTTTCTCCAAGGCAAGATGTGCACCTTCAAGGCATCCTATGTTTTCTCCATCCACTCCTGAGCCTAGACTACCTGAAGCTGGTTCAAGCTCTTCTTTACAATTCAAACCAAGTACGTGGTCATGGCGAGGCCACCGATCATCACCTCACCATCCATGTCGAGTCACGCACACTCATCTCCAGCCCAAATCCGTGCAGGGCTACCTCCAAGTCAAGTTCGTCCAGGGCTGCCCCCTCACCGAGGTTGTGTGCGCGTGACAGTGCATGGCTTACGTATGGGCTCATCGATAGGTGAGAGCCCGCCCAAGCTCCGAGCTCGGGACTCTCACTCCTAAGAATAAATCATGGTCGGTCACACATGCCATCACAAGGTGGAGATTCCGTAACTTGCGCATCTTCTACGTCAAGCTCGTCATCCTGGTATATGGCCATGTTTGTGCAGAGGAACGAGATTGTCTATCTTTCCAAACCACCTACGATCAAGCGATGCTCTCACAATGTTAGAGAGGCACGTATCGATGCATAGCTTGGAAGCCCGAATGCAATCACATGCCACCCTCGTCAATAATCATTCATCAAGACGAAGCAAAGTGGAAGTCTTGCCTTCCTCACCATCCATGATGTTCAGAGACCATTAAGATGACATGTCACTCCGACCTCCCTCGAATCGCAGCAGGTGGGGGGCACCTTGGGCTCCTCGTCACACGAGAAAATAGGTGCAACCCTCCGATCACTGGCATGAATGAGCAGACCTACAAAAGAACTCTCTCATCGATTCAACAAACGACAAGGAATGAGTCACCCAAGCATTGCTCTCTTTCCCTGAATCAATTCAAGGGGTCGTCCAAGCATCGCTCCCTTACTCTGCATTAGGGGGTCCCCCCTCCAAGCATCGCTCTCAGTCTGGGATCTTACATCCACCCTGGGGAAACTTGAACGACAAATGACACCGTAGTAATAGCAATCAATAGAGACTACTTATCATGGTGGACTACTCACAGCATCCTTCTGAGAACGTCAGACGAGCATTGTCACAAGTGAAGACCGGTATTTGCCATTCCCTTAGCAGATGGCGATCGTTGCAGCTTCACGCAGTGCTCGGAGGGCTCACCTTGTTGCTGAATTTGGAAGAAGACCCTGGACTGGTAATCGGATAGACAAGACCCCGGGCTGCTAGACGGAGAAACAAGACCTCGAGCTGCTAATCTGACAAACAAGACCCCGGGCTGCTGGTCGAACAAACAAGACCCGGACTGCTACCCAGACGAAGGAAACCAAATCCTTTCGCAAGCAGCGGGGAATAATGTGGACAACGTGCAACCGGCTTTTTCAGAGCATGCTTCACCTGATCACCATCAGCGGACAACTGAGCTGTTGGCCTCTCCCGAGCACACCTCAGCTCGACATCATCGACAGACAGTTGAGCCGTTGGCCTCTCCCGAGCACACCTCGGTTCTGCGTCATCAACAGACAATTGTGCAACTAGTCTCTCCCGAGCATACCTTGGCTCGACCGCCTCCACTGGCAAACAACCGTAGGAATGGCCTTCTCGAAACATATCTCAACTTACCAGTAAAGCATACACTCAATCAAGAACCGAGGAGACTAGCCTTCCTTTGCTTTATTTTAAGGTTCTGGTGTACTCTTTTTCCTTTACAGGGATTTTTTCCCACTGGGTTTTTTCCTAGTAAGGTTTTAACGAGGCACCCCCTCATCATGAACAAAAGAAGAGGTCTCCCAGTCGGAACAAGGAAGACTTCATTCTTTCACAAGCAATTGGATCTAATTCAAGGCTCGCCAATGACCGACCGATCGGACCAAGAATCGGACCAATTCCAAAACAGCTTAACTACTCCCTTTTAGCCAAGTCTACTACTCGACTAAGGGAGTGGGGGACTCGTGTTGGGATAATGGGACGGGTCCAAGACTATCGGCCCATTACACCCGAGCTTTGGCTCGACCAAGCTCACATCACAGTCCGGCTAGCGGATATTGGTCCGGGATTATTCAATTACTTATTGGGCTTGCTGGCCCATTAGCGTTAGTAATAGTAGATTAATCGGGCCAGACCCACGTAGCACTTAATTGGTGGGCATATTGTATACGTCTATAAATAGGCCATCAATCCCTTGTATTCGGGGAGGATTCTCACTATACTGAAATGCTGCCGAATTCTCTACCAGGGTTATTTTCTACCAACAATTACAAAAGGGTAATTAAATGTGTAGTGAAATATGGTAGCACATCAATTCATTGAAGTGATTTGAAGGTGAAAGGGTAAATGAATAATAAAAAGTTATCAAATTTAGAAAGAAGTTGATGTTGGAACTTTATTTTGGGACATCAAGTAAAGAAAAGTTGGAATTTAATTTAGAGAGTTATATTTTTTTTTTAATTGTTGTTTTAAAAGTAGAAGCAACCGAAAGAAGGTAACTATAAATGAATTCTGGGTAATCTTTGGGTATAGGCCTGTCAATGGGTCGGGTCTAGACCCGGACCCGACCCGGAACCGGTTGTTTTTAATTAATGGGTACGTGTCTATATTTTATTCCGTTTAATCGGACTCGGATCCACACCCGTTAGTATTTTAAATAAACGAATCGGGTATGGTACATACGATTCCGACCCGTTAAGGACCCGGACCCATTTAAAATTTCTTATTTGTATACACATACACTCAAACATAAAGTGATTAGTTATAACACTTTAAATAAAATAGAAACTAATATACATATATACATAATAATACATAAAGTTATTAGTTGTGAATTTGTGATTATTCAATAAAAATATACACATTAATACATAAATACTATGGAGTATATAAGTGATACTGATCAAGAAAGTAAGATACCCTAAAACTAATATTTATTACTATTATTATTAATATTATTATATCATTATCATATATAATACTACATATGATTTTATACTCTTAGTAGTCCAAGAGACCTTTTATGACTTAATTTCTAGTTTATTCTACGAGTTTTTTGTGCGAGAGAAAGCGGCGCAAAGTGTGGAGTTATATGCCTGTACAAGAACCGATACTTTATTAGATAAAAGTACTAATTTTCTATGAGAGACCTTGATTTTTTTGAAAAGTGAAGACATATTTTGCTTTTAAATTTGTACATTTTAGTGTATATTTCACATACATGTCTTGCTATTTCACAAAGTTTATAATGGTGTGAGTATCATACTTGGCGGGCGGGTCTACCCGACCCGATTCCGAGACCCGTTGGGTCTGGGTCCGGGTCCAAATTTTCAGACCCGTCGGGTAAACAGGTCGGATCCGGGTCCATTATTAACTTAGCGGGTCCAGGTCTGGAACACTACATTCCGACCCGGACCTGACCCATTGACAGGCCTATTTGGATATGAAAATACTTCCTCTGTTCTCTTTTAATTGCAACAGTCAACATTTTATGTTTGCCGACGCACAAGTTTGACCATTAATACTCCCTCCGTCCCAATTTATTTTGCAAAGTCAACAATTTAACTAAGAAAAGTCAAATTTGCATCTCTTTTTGGGACGGAGGTAGTATCTTTTATACCCTATTAGTAAAAAATTTAAAAATTCAAATTTTGAAAATTTAGAATGAGAAGAATTTAACAATATACTTTAAAAATTTAATTTGTAATACATTAATTAAAAAATATACTCCCTCCGTCCCAAAAACAACTTCACAGTCACTATTCATTTGTCAACATGAATCACTTCTAATCTTTTATTTTTTATATCAAATTTTTATCAAATTTTAATTTTCTTGATCAGGCTTTGTAGCGGTTTTAATGTAGTTCCTGAATATGTAAATTTTATTTACTAAAAATAATCTGAGTGTGAACAGGGTTCGAGTTGCTTTATCGTCGATCAAACATCGTAAACCGAACGAGAAGTTAATTTTGGGACGGAGGTAGTAGTAAAAGTAGAATATGTGAATAGTGCAAAAAGTCCAATGTTGTAATTAAAAGAGAAATGAGGTAGTATATGACGGAATTGAATGACCTGTGGGTGTGGTAGCTGGGGCAGTGTCTCCAATAGAGAGGAGTAGAAAAATTGATCAAGGAGGGCCCAAGCCTGAGCGTGCTTCTTCTCTTTCCCTATCCGGAGCCACCTTTGGAGCTTCCAGAGCCACGGAGGAAGGAGGTGGCGGTACAGAACGGCGTCAATGGCGTCCTTGAAGGCGTGGTCGAGGGGATGGGAGTCCAAAGCGGTGAGGGCGCGAGGATCCTTGTGGAGGAGTACGAGAATGATGGAGTCAAAAGTGAACCTCTGGAAGAGGCATTGCAAATCGAAGGAGGAACCGCGGCTGGCGTGGAGGTCAAGAACGGGCAGCAGCCCGTTCTCCACCTTCCCCCACACGCTGCTCGCCAGCAGAGCGTTGAAGTGGGGGTGGGTCATGAGCGAGAGCGCGGCTCTGCGGTGGAGCTGCCACCGCTCGGAGTCGGCGTTGAAGACGCCGTCTCCCAAGAGCTCGAATATTTCCCGGAACTCGGGACCCTTGGGGTAGTTGGCGAAGTTCCGGGTGAGGATGTGGCGGACATTGGCGGTGTCGGAGGTGACCACCATGTCCAGCCCGGAGAACCAAGGACCCTTGAACTCAAAGGTGCCCCCCACCTCTCCCAGAACATCTGTCACGTAATCGTGGATGTGGCCAGCCTTCTGAAGCAGCCCCGGCAACATCCCTACCACCGGCCAGTTTCTTGGTGCATATCTGTTGCTGCAACTGGCCGACCCTGATGACCACCACCACCAACTCCTCATCCCACCTCTTTTCTTGTAAACCATCATCATCAGCGGCAACAATAGTAATAATAAGGACGCAATAATACCTTTGTTATCCATTACTTATGCTACGTATATATGAGCAGCGGCTAGATAGCCTGCTTATTTATATATGTATATATATGATGACCGATCGATCGATATAGATCATTTAAATAATAAGTAGTACTACGTACTATGTATTATATGAAGATGGCCTGGATCGCACGGGTTGAAATGGATTCTCATGTTCTAATCCGCTCCACATGCATGATATTACATGACATGTAGTACTACCTCCGCCTCAAATTCATTTTCAAAATTGACTTTTTTTCTTAGTCGTTTCATTTTATTTGCTTAATTAGAAGTTTACAACTTTGAAGAGATTTTAATGTAGTTTCTGAATACGTAAATTTTAATTAATAAAAATTGAACTAATTATCAATATGGAGGATTTAACTTTATCACTGGTTGATAAACAAATGTTGACTTTGCAAATCAATTTGGGACGGAGGGAGTATTATGTAAAGGAAAATTCTTAAATAAGATTAACACATCAAGCAATGACTACTTTTTGTTTTTGCATAAATATGATTTAGTTTTTCACCTTCTTTCTCTTATTTGCCCTCATCTCACACTGATCTCACCTGTGAACATCTCATTTAATTTCTGCCCATCTCACTTGCGAATATCTCCCTGCAATCGTCTCCTCAAATTTCTACGCGCCTAAGCATGCCGCTCCATCTATCTCACTCTGGCTACTTCAGTGTCATCTCCACCACCACAATTTACAGGCGAGTGTCTCCTTCTCTTTCTCCTTCTTCTTCCTGACAGTCCACACATCTTTCTGATTTTTTCAAAATCGGCGATGATGGCCGCTCTAAATCACTAATGGTGGCGACTGTGAATCCCAGGCGGTGCTAAGGCTATTAGGGTTCAGGGATGGCAGGGATGGCGATGTTCGCGTTTTGCGTGATGGTTGCGTCCCAAGGTTTGGGCGACGGTTAGGGTTACAGGTGGGGGTTGATGTGTGATAGTGTTGAATTGTTATTGTTTATGTTGTATTTTTAACTAGTTTTATTTTTTATTGTTTTGGAAATTACACATTTTTGATGTAATACTTTGTTTTTCTAGTTAAGTTGTAATTTGTTTAAATTATGATTATACTGAGCCTAAACCAGGTTAAAATTATCAAAAGGATCCTTAGAAGGTCAAGGAAAGTGCAAAGAATCAGGACAAAGTAAAGATTTGGAAACATGTCCATATACTCGATCGGGTATGGGCTTGACCCGAGTATCAAATTTGATTCGGGAAACAATTAAACGTCCATGGATGATTTTTATCAAGATTTGTATTATAGCCAGACATATTGGATAGACAGACATACTGGTTGGGTATGATTTGATTTTTGAAGATTCGAAGCTGCTACTGAGGATACCTAGTTCGGAGTGAAATCAGAGTTCGGAGTGAAATCAGAATTCGGAGCCTAGGCATGCCGCTTTATCCATCTCACTCTGGCTTCTTTGCTATCATCTCAAGCACCGCGATTTACAGGCGAGTGTCTCCTTCTCTTTCTCCTTCTACCTGACAGTCCACACATCTTTCTGATTTTTCCAAAATCGGTGATGACGGCGGCTTGAAATCCCTGATGGTGACAACCGTGAATCCCATACGGTGCTGAGACTATTAGGGTTCGGGGATGGCAGGGATGGCTACCATACGCCAGCCCCCCTCCCCAGACGCTCCCTGGGGTAAAATAAAACAAAAAAAAGTTTTAATATTAAGTGTGAAAAGATGTTATTCAAATTACATACTACGTGTCATTTATCAGCTGCATTTAAAAAAAATTAAGTTGAATCTTGGATCTGGACAGATTTTAAACAGTTTTCAAAAAATTCAATTGCTAGGAGTAGCGGTGGGAACGGTCCGGGTAATTGATAAATTTTTATGAACCGCCGGTTTCATTTAACGGGTGGATTCGGTCCGAGTATACCAAGTTTCGAAATAAGAACCGGACCTAACCTACCCCGTTTGACACGGACCGGTTTGGTTCGAGTTCTCGGTTCTTTTTTGTAAAAAAACACGAATATGCTAGTAAAATATCCAGTAAGCTATAAAAATCTCAAACAAGTTAAGTATCAATTTCACCACAATATCGTAAAAATGCAAATTAAAAACATAAAACAACATTTTAAATTAGTCAACAGAACATCACAAATTAATGGACTTCAATTTAGAAAAGTGCTCATATTTTTTAGACAACTCAAAAAGGAGATTGTATTGTATCTTACAAAAACCAGAGAGAATAACAAGAGTATTTAATTTAGTAATAGGGTGCGGTCAATGCAATCGGTATGTACTGTATGTGTCATGCACGATAAGATGGAGGTCAATTAATTCATTTCTTTGGGACTACACATAGCTATAGGTAGAGAGTTTCATCAATTTTTTGCCACAAGAAACAATGTTCTGTTAAGTGTATGATAAAAGCAGTTTGTTAGGGTGTTGGAGTCCGAAGTATATAAAAGAGGGTCGTCCGGTCCCTCGGCTTTATAATCGATCGCTTCAATTGATTGCTGTAAACCTGCTTAAGGTATGTATGATATGTCTACCAAATTAAATACGGAGTAATAGTACCATTATATATATATTAAAATGATGACAGGCTGGATGGGTTTCTAGAGATGCCATGCCGGTAGGCCGCTGCACTCCTTTAAAACTTGAATAATGAAACTTTTTATCCATCAAAACTTGCGGTGGCGTACCCAGGAATTCCCGCTAGGAGGGGCGGCAGTGTAACTACATACTACCCCGTTCCTTTAAACTTTGCCAAAGTTGATCGACACGGAGAATAATAAAGTAAAAACTGTGTGGTTGAAATTTGTGCAGATGAGAGAGAAAAAATAGAAACCACAAAATAATTGATTAAAAGGGAAAGTGACAAAGTTTTTTAAGCGACGGAGGAAGTACATATTAAAATTTTGAGATAAATATACCTAGAAGAAAATGGGGGGGGGGGGGGGGGGGGGGGGGGGGGAAGCATTAGCCCTCATTGAACTTGAATCATTCAATCAAAATATATGACTAAAATGATGAAATCTGTGTATCCTAAAATTTTCAAAAGTGAGTATCCATCTTCGCGTATTATATCATCTTAACTCCCACCGTCTTATTTCTTGTCATGATGTCTTCACAAGATTTGTAGCTGCTCACATGGGATTTGAATGGTTTCACTTGGATTTGTCTAGTAAAAGATCAAATATGCTCAAACCATGCACAAAACATCACTCTGATTCAAAATTGTGAGTTGGATGGCGGTTCAAGTAATGGTTTTTCATGCTCCAGCTCTTTCTCAAAGGGGATAGAAAGGCTTTCTGCCAAGAGGGATTATAAGGCTGTCATCATCATTATTACCCCAGTGCCGCAAAGGCTACCCACCTACAGTGGGGTGGGGGTCGGATGTACGCAGTCTTACCCCTGTACTAAAGCACAGAGACACTGTTTTCGGATGACCCATAGTGAAAATCGCGTCAAATTGCATTGACTGACTGTTGTTTCATAACAAAGAAGCAGACAGATTACTTAGTCGTTTTGTTTTATTCCATCATATTCTTAAGCCAAAAAATAGTGAGTCTTTGACTATAAATTGACTGTGGATCCGAGCCCATATACTCTATCAACAACCTAAACAGGTTTCTATTTTTTCAGCCAAGCTTTTACACTAGAGCCATATTATTTGCATTACAATCGCTACTGTTGTGTAGATAAATGATTCAAAATTCAGTGTAAAACTAAATAAGTACAAAAATGCTTGCAAAACATAAATCACATGTCTAAAAATACCAAAACTGCCGCATAAAGTATAAGGTCTACAAGATGTTTATCGAATATAAAATTTTGCAACTTCAACCAACATAAACCACAACAAGATGATTGTGGAATATTAAAGCTTGCAATTTCAAGTAACATAAATCGGCTCTTCAATAATACAACTTGCCTCCTCCACGTCTACAAAAATTAAAAATGAATTAAAACAAAATTAATATGAGCATTAGTATTAAAACGCACAAAGAAAAATAACCATTTTATTGTGATTATGTGAGTTAGCCCATTAATTCTATACCATTTTGTGTGTACCATATCCAAACTATATGTTTCAACATACTTAAAATATATAAGAACCGATCAAAATTCATATCTTAAATTTACAAATTTAAAGAAATTTACATTTTCCACCTTATGCAATTCCATTAAATTTTCTTCCCCATATATCCTTTTTCTTTCACCATCTTTTTTCAAAACAAGAAAAAATCAAGAATAAAAAATAGCTTTTAAAAAAACATTGAAGTTAATTTACTGAATTATAACATTAAATTACATTGGTAATCAACGAGCTCCTGAATTGATTTAGAGTAAGCCCTCTTACGCTAAATGCGGACTCTAATGCCACAGTTGATATTGGGATTGCTAATATATCACAGGCCATACGCGCTACTGCCGGAAATCTAGGACTATTTAGTTAATTTCCATCAAGTCAAAACATCATTCTCTTCCTCATCCCCTCTTTCTTCTTCAAGGTAGCGATCAAACTCGTTTCTTGAAAATTGTTGTGATCCACTCATTTCTCTAACCCGATCTTTCACAAGACTCATCAAAGTAGAAGAACTAACAGTTGAAGAAGTTGTTCTTCAGTTACTAGTTACCCCACTCTCATCAATCACAGCCAGAGGAGCAAACACTCTTCTAAACTCCTCATACAAATCATAAGCACATTTCTTAATCTTTTCAATTAAAGGTTGTGCATCCTTTTCACCACAAGTTCAACAAGAGCAATCTTCACTCCAATCAATTTATAGTTGGGATCAAGAACGGCACCAATGTATATTGTATATCAACTTTCTCATCTTTTAAATATCACCCAATATTTGTCCTACTTTAATTTCATTTTAGATACCATATTTTTCATACCAAGTTGATCACTAATAACACACTTTTTCAACAAATCAAGTGTATGACATATATGGAAGAAAAAAGTATTAATTGGGACATACAACGAGCCCGACACATTTTTAGTCTACTCAAAGAATTTCTTTAGAAAACAACGAGATGTCTAAGCGCCTTCCAATCCTCGTCACTAAGGGGATCCCAACGAACCAAGCATTCCAGCCCAGGTGGTTGTGAGGTTACCGTGCGTAGTGGGAGGTCTCGAGTTCAAAACCCGCTAGGCACACAAGGGTTTGAAACTCAATGG